TGTGTAACCAATCATCTACATGTAAAATTCAGCTTAAAACGTATCTTATAACAAACAACAGAAGACTGTGTTGCAAGAAGCAGGTCAGCAGTTGTAACAGCTAGAGTTACGATTTTTCCACCTACTTCACAAACAGTATAAATCATTTTCAATAAACCTGTTAAATAAAATGTGATTTAAAATGATATATTTCTAACTTATGCTTCTTTTTAATTGTTCAATTATGTCATCAGAGAGGACTTACTTATTTTCTCTCACACACATACATTTTGGTTTAATCTAAAACCTTTTAAATCTAAATCTGCATGGAGTAGAAATGATCTAAGGTTTAAAAGTAACACTTTACCTCACTAGTCACAAATTCAGTTAACTGTGAGATGAATTCAAATGGGCCAATGTTAGAAATTAAGCAACAGAAAACTGATATTTTATATATTTTAATCCAGAACGACAAAGATAATTTAAACATGATGCTTTAAAGTAACAGTTCAATTTGAACTTAAACTAGAACTGAATCAAATAATTTATTTATTACAAAATATGTTTCCAAATCACAGGGGCAATTAATGTTTGCTCCAATGAACGTCCTTCATTTATAGATTAGCTTTTTTAGCTGCACTTTATGTTCACCAAGTACTGAAGCTGAAAGAGGGCAGGCCTTTTCTCTTGAATAAAAATATTCAGATCAGTAATGAAAACAGTGCATTCCTTTTCTTTAATTAGACTTTAAATACAAGCGTACATTTCTATAAGGAATATTTGCTGATTTTGGTTATTGCAGAAACAAAATCAAAACAAAATTGCAATTGCTGGCTGATACCATACTTTTATTTTTCTGTTTTCTTTATAAATTATTAGACATCTGTCCAAATTAAATATGCCAGGCCTTTACTGACCTCCCATTTTTGCCCCTATACATAAAAGGATCAAAATTTAATGAGCTGATTTTACGGAGAATCTCATTTTGAATCTTAAAAGAAAACAGCATAACTAGTAGATAAACCTTTCAATTAAAGAAAGCAAACATTCCTGACCCTGACTGGTGTTTAAAGATGTAAAACAGTGAATTCTGAGCTTTTGAAGCATTTCCTGAACAATAGACATTCCTTTTTCTGTGTCATACCCACCAATCACTGACTAGAGCCAATCAATGGAGGCTCAGCCAGTTACAAGCTCTGGTTGATTAGCTGTTACATCGCTACATTATTTTTTTTCCTTTCTAAGCATTTCACTTTAACCAGGGTTCATAATTCACACAGTTTTTCAGCACAAATATTTATGTTCTGCTCTGATTCTATGATATTTCTTGCAACTTTTACAGATTTTGTCCTGTGAAAAGCATTTAACTGGAGAACAAAAGGAGGCATTTCTATTTTACTTTTTACCATCAAAACACTAGGATCTGGTTCTAGACTTTCACAGCTATCACAAGTTCAAGAGTAATCCGCTTTTACATCCTTTTAAATAAATGAATGGGTTCGGGGCAGTGCAAGCTACTCTGCTTCACATCATGTTATCGTTTACCTCAGTTACTGTCATTCTCTTCTAAAACCATTTATCTCTTTGATGAAATGGATTTATGAAGGCTTAAATAGTGCCCACATGGGACGCAATAGATGCCAATACTAAATAAGAGCCCACTTTTGAAACTAAATGCAGTATACATGTAGTTCTCATGGCTGGCCACCTCATTTGGACCTGCACAAAACTTACACTGTGCAGAAGTGGGCCAGTCAGAAGCTGAGAGATGAGATCCTGCAGAAAGCACACAGAGAGGGCAGGGTGCACAGCCCTGCTTACACACACACACACACATACACACCTACATGGTGGGCCACTTCAAAGGCATTCCACAACATGCACAGCATTGTCGGAAAATGCCAATGAGCACTTCAGTGAAGAGTGCCTGTGAATCCAAACAGACAAACGGAGGTCGGCTCTGATACTCCTGGTCTTTAGATTTGCACCATTTCTCCTGAATAAAGAATGCCTGCTCTGGACATTTTTATTCACAGTATCAGCAGGGAAGATTCGTCGACCAGAATGCCTTAAATGTACTAACAAAAGCATATACAGTGGTGAGGGAGAGCTGAACTTATAGGCTTGAAAGGACTAAGAACAGAGAAGACACCAAGTTGCACAACATGTTTTTCAGAAGTTAGACAAACAGATAACTTAGCAGTTGCTTCAGAAAACTAGTCACTGATAAGTGCGACTTTGATAGCCGTTCACACCGACCAAGAAGCTGTTCTAGAAGTGCACTCAGAACTTTACAACCGCTGTCCAGCATATCAAATCGCCCCTGTGTGTGGATTCAGAATGAAATACTTTATGCACTTTTCTTGTCGTCTCCACCCCCTTTCTCTGGTGCATACATCTTGAGACCCAAATATGGGCACTTCCACGGTACTCGTCAACAGCCAATGAGACATAACCCACTCCCTGAGAGACGCAGAGCAGGAAGAAAAAAAAACTGAAAAAAGGGGAAAAAAAAAAAAGGCTGTCTCACAAGACCCCCCTTCAAGGGCCTCTTCTGCCTGCACACATGACCCATGAAAAGTAAGTCATATCACTTCCTCTCAACCAGCCCACTAAGTCACTCTACTAATACAACCACCCCCTTCCATACCTATACTAAAGAGGCAATCAGCTTATAATGAGTGGCTTCTTCAAGGCTATTTGTCATGTAGGATCATTGCAAACTACCTGCTCGCCTGCTCTGGAACGAGCTCCTGTTCTGAGAAGCTGCAAATCTCCCAAGGAGACAGGATGTAGGGCAAAGGTTAAACCCTTGACAAACAAGGAAAATGTTTGATATTAATCTCAGAACAGCCGCTGGAGCTGAAGACGTTTTTGTTTGAAATTTACACATAAAACTGAGAAAGCAAAACATTTGCATGTGATCGAATGATTTACGTATGGAGTAGAGAAAAAAGAAGAAGCAGCAGCAGTTTTTCCAGGTTGTACCGGCTCTAATTTTCCAGACTTCTGCGTCGGATCTCAGCAGTGTACAACAAATGCTTAAAGGAAAACAAACAAACAAAAAAAAAAGTGTACAAATGATCCCTCTACTGATGCTCCTAAAACAAGGTCATTAAACGATCTGAAATGGGTATTATCTACTGCTCAATCAATCTCTTTGACAACAGTTAAAAGAGCTGCTTCATTTACGCTCTGTTAGCTAATTTCAGTAAAACATCAGCTCATTAATATAAAATAAAAAAACATAATAGGCTACAAACATCCCCCAGAGAGGAAGATGCCCTTCATTCACACTGACAGAGTAAAATTCCCCATCTATAAAGAGATTCTTAGTGTCAGTGGATAACTTGTTTACATCCAAGCTGCAGCAAAGCTGCATGTGTACATTTATGGAAAGGTCAGTTGTCATAAAAAACAGCAGTGCATGTATAACAGAACTACTCATAATCAAAACATAGCATCTTAGCAATCGAAAAACAGTGAATTCCTTTATCTACTGCTTAAATTTCAGAAAGGTAAAGCTAATGTTGGATTACTATGATCTAAAACAATGCGATATTATGGTATTAACAGCATCTGTTGACCTGAAATCCTCTCTCTTCACTTTTATCATCACTCTCATAAGCTAAAGCATCTTGGTTAGTTCAAGTTAAAAAAAAAAAAAAAGGTGTGACTAAAGAGGAAAGAAGCCCAACAGAATAAAAAGGAAATTAAACTTTGTTCCAGATTTTAACAATGTTGCATCATCTCCGTTGTACGAGCAACTTTCTGATCTATTCTGTGGACAATTTAACTTCTATTACCGGTAAGTGTGTTAGATAGTCTTACCATACAGTATGGTAGGACTATCTAAATATCTTGTCATATTTAGGACTTTTTGGGGCTCTGAAATGCACAAAAACAACCTGTTTCCACACCAAAATAATATATATGAAGCATGAAAACTTAAATGAAATCCATTTATAAAGAATCAAATGAAGAAATGTTTATATTTTGATGTCTTTTTAGCAGATCTTACAAATGTTGTATTTGTAAATGTAAGCTATAGTTGGTCTAGTCCTGCATACAGATCGAATGATGTCTGAAAGGGGTCTGCGTTTACCCTTATTGCTAAATGTTATTCGCTTTAACATAATCTCCGTTTACCTGTTCAGTTTATTTCGACTGGAAGAATTATGAACATTTTGGAGTATTCTAACCAGATTAGGGTGAAAACAAGGAGGCCTTCCCACTCCAATTAAAGTGGATACAAACCCTACTTATTAAGGAGGATTGTCACTCTGAAAAAAAACATTTTAACCCTACTTTGACGGGGGTTTTTTTTGGTAAAAATTATATTAAATATAGTCAATTAAGCATGATGTATGTAATTTCTCATCAGTAACAAACCAATTTGCTAAATTGTTATGATTTTAAATCAAAATATGCCAAAGAGATTAGCTTCTTTCAAATTATAACAACTCTTAAGATTTTAACTTTTGACTAGTAACTGTTTGATTTTGGGGTCAGTCAGCCTTTACTTTTAAGCTGAGCTGTTAGGAATGAATTATGTGGCAAAATGTTCTGCCATAGTCGGGTCGCCATGAGAGGCCTCTGGTCACAGGGCTGCTAATCAATCCTGCTGTTCCCAGTTTGTGCCGCAGACCACCACGGTCCAGCAGCAGCGGCTAATAATCCCACCCTGGGATCGAAGATACGAGCCCAGGCCGCCGAAAAACATCCGGACCGGACCTGCTCGGAGGGCAGAGGGAGCATAAACAGTCCTCCACAACACAGAGATGATCAATTATTGTTATGCAGCAGCCGAAATTAGCGAGCTGCAACAATCAAGAGACATGGGAGGGTCTGTGCATGCGCGAGACTGTTTACGAGGGTCTCGTGACAAGAAAAGGAAAAACAAAAATATATTAATACTATTTGGGTTAATTTATTTCTAAATAATCAAACTGCTTGGTTTCTTTCAGACGTAAGAATAAAAACAAACAAGCATTAAAATGATAAAATAAAAAAATACTTACTTTCACCGTTTATGAGCCCACACTTGCATATAATACAGGTACAGAGGATAAAAAACAGCGTTTGTGCTCGCAGCTTTGGCGTCAACCACCTCATCTTGACTGAAGTAGTTCTCCCTCTGAAGGTTCCAGGAACTCCAGTCCTCAGGGGGGAAAATGTGTGTCCGGGATATCAGAGCTAGAAATGAGTTTTCTTATACAGCCAAGTTTTTTTTTCTTTTCTTTTTCTAGACCCGGTTTAAAAAAAATAAAAATAAAATAAATTGTGCAACGAAGCCACTAAATAACGTGATCTTGGGTTCTGGCAGCACATGTGCGAGTGAAAATCATTTTCCATAAGTGAAGGCGACAGTCCCCGTTCATCTGATTGCTGTTGATAATCCAATAAATGTGGAAGAAATGTGGAATTATAATCCCTTTAGTTCGGAGGTCCCTTCAGTAAGGCCCGCTGTCATGCATTTATCGGGGGGGATTGTTTTCCTGTTAAAGTTTAAAAAGTCGAGTACTCCTCAGGATCGGTGCTTCTGCGTTTTAAGACCGATGGAGGTACATCCCAGGAAACTCTTAGCAGGAAAAAAAAACGTGCAGTTTTCCTCCTTGTCTCCTAAACACTGCGACCTTCCTCTGAACTCCTTCACCCTCGCGCCGCAAACGGATCAACACCCATAAAAAAAATAAATAAATAAAAAAAGAGCCAACGGGAGAAAACCGAGCGGGCGAGGCTCTGGCTTCTTTATCAGACAACCAAGCTCCTCAGCAAACCGTTTATTTCTTCTTCTTCTTCTTTATTTCTTCTTCTTCTTCTTTGGTTAACGTTGGCTGATGGGAGTTCAGGAGAGCTAGCGTTAGCTGGCTAATCCAAAACAAACGAGGTTGGTTTCAGCGTCGGCGATACAGTTGGAGATCCTTTCTTTTAAGACAAAAAAAAATAAAACAAGCGAAAAAACACATTAAGTTAGAGTTTCGTTTCAGAGAGTCCACGCGAGGAGGGAGCGAAAACGAGTAAAAAGAGTGAAAAAAGATGGGGACAAGTGGTTTAAAAAAAAAAAAACTTGCATTCCCGTCGCATCTAGAGCTCGCTCTCTCCCTCAGGTTCCCGTCTCTCTTTCTGCGAGCCTCTCTCCACCAGTAAACAAGTCCTGCCAGTCACCTCAGCTGGGCCACGCACGGTCTGCGGGAAAACACGGAGCGCCTAGTCCGCCTCCATAGTCCTCGGGCTGGGGCTGGATCCGGAGAACACCGGAGCGACTGTCTGTCCGCCACCACCGAGGAGCTCTGGCTGCCATTAGAACAACACCGGGCATAAATGTTCCTTTCAGTAAAATCTTAATGCATATTTAAAATCCCTCTAACTATTAAAAGCAATTAGAAAAAAATAAACTTTTAATAGATCTATTAATGCTTATCTAGACAGTTTATAAAGAATAAACTGTCATATAAAATAATTTAATTAAGTATCTAAAGCACCCACTACTACTAATTATAATGATAATAACAATGTATTATTATTATTATTATTATTATTATTATTAATATTATGAACTCTCCAAGACAGACAGGTCCATTTTATCCCATGCAGAGTTCCCAAAATCTGTATTTAAGTAAAAGTAGCACTATTTCATCATAAATTTACTGAAGTATAAATAAAAGGTAGCCTTTAAAGAAATTACCTAAGTAACAGTAAAGAAGTGTTTCATAAAAAGGCTACTGGAGTACTGAGTAAGTGCTACCCATGGTCATAAAGGTCGATTTGATATTTGAAAAATGAATTTAAAATGTAACAAAATATTAAGTGATATGCAAATTATGGTGTTTCAAAGAATATGATAAAAAATAAGCATATAACATATAGAAATTACACAATAAAAATATAGTTAGAATGAATATTATTCAAAATATGTTTGGTTTTTTTAGTTATAAAACTTTTAATTTCAATAGTTACAGTATGAAAGAATAGGTTCAGTCCTGGTATACTTCTGTTTTCACTCCAAATGGAGACTCAGAAGATGAAAAATAACATTAAACAAATAAACTTTGAGTATAAAAAAAGAAGAATGTCTCTCTCAGTCTTGCATATCTGTTTAAAACTAGCTTGTTTTAATTGAGTAAAGTTACTCACAATGGATGGAGCACCCAGAAATTTTACTCAAGTAGGAGTAGTGATATTTTATCATACTTTTATCAAGGAAAAATAAAACAAAGTTCAAACTCTAAAAAGTGTACTTAAGTAAATGTAACTACTCACCTCTGATCCCATAAATACATATAGACTGCTGCATGGTGCAATTCAGATCAGCCTAATTTATTCTGATAAAAGTTAGTTTTAGTCAAGCATGTCAGAAGCTTTAACTGTTCAGCCCATAATCATTTAGTTGAAATTACTTCCTGCCTATCATTGCTCTAAAAATGCTTTACCTTTAAATATGATTTCTCATCTTTGACCCAATTGTAAAAGTTATTTAGTCTCTTGGCTCATATACACTTAAAATATTTTTCTTTTAATTAAAAGAGTTTATTTTAGTAATAGACAGATATCTATTACATCCGTTTTATAACAGATATCTATAATAAAACACTGCTGAAGGGGTGTCAGTTTATTAAAAAAATCAGCTATCAGTTTTTATTTACATTCTAATAATGAAGAACATGTCAACTGTTCATTTTTTTAAATACTCTGTGGAAATATTCAACCCACTTTCCTAATTTCGGACTATTTTTTTTGTTGTTTTCCGTCTGTATTTTGATGATGAGCACAGAAGACCTCCTTGCCGTCATACCAATCTTTTGCTCCCTTTGAACATTTTCTATCAGTTTCAGGACTGAGTCGCTTCAAAACAATGATGTTACTTCCTGCCAGAGAGAAACATGCTGGTAAAAATTAAAAAGTTACTTTTACCACAAAGCTGGCATGGGTGTGAATATTTTTCAAAGCCATATTTTTTGGTTTAGATTTTCCTGCTTTCGAAACAGCTTATGTAGCAATCTGCATCAACTAGAGGAAGATTTATATCAATGCTGATAATAAGGGTAGTAACACAATAACAAAGTATTATGAGGAAGTTTTGCTTCTCGAATGTTTATTTATTCTCATATTGTCTCAATGTTAGAAAGTTTGAGTCAAGTTTTTTTCTATTTAATTCAAGTTTTTCATGAAATAAATATTATAGTGTGGTTGGTGTTGTGTATTTTTGTTCATTTGAGGCAAGATTTAAATCATAAAGATTTAAACACCCATTATTTCATCCTAAAAAGCGGTAAATCTTCCTCAAAAACAAGATTGCCACTTCAAACCAATAAGAATAAGCTTCAAACAGTTAAAAGATAAAAAAAAGAAAAAAATGTTACTCTATACTCTTAAATCTAATTGACTGAAAAATATTGGATAAAAATATATCCAGCAAGAGTTTTTATGTTTTTGAAAGCCACTAATAGGGGTTAAACATATAGTTTTATATTAAACAAGTGATCTTAATCTTTCTTCGTTCTGTTGCTGTATGCAGCATGATCAGGTGTCATGAAAGGGAATACAGGGAGAGATATTTTGCATATTGCCTTGAAGTGAGTTACATTTTAAATGATCAGAGTATAAAATGGAGTCTAACTTACTCTTCACCAGTGCAGATAAATGGGCTTTGACCAAAGGATGCTGTTTCTTGATCTGCAGTTGAGACCAGATCTACACATATCTGCAGAAATTTTAAAAGCTTTTATTGCCATTACATATCATATGTGCACATGCTTCTCACTGTGGCAGTTAACGAAACAACTTGTTTTAGGGAAGTAGGGAGAAACCTTTCTTTTTTGCAAAATGTCACAACAAGAGAGACAGAAGCATGTTTTAATTTTTACTTGAACTGAAAACATGCCTTTTATAGAAGTGCAACCTCCTGCAGAGCACCCAGGAACCTTCTCTCTATTTATTTATTTTTTGTTCCTATAAAGACGATTTTCATGGTCAAACCCTTCAATGTCAGTTTAGTTAGATCGCAGGACTTGCCTCCAACTTTTTAAAACTGTAATCTGTCTTTTTGATGTCACATTTTTAAAATGTCTCCTTCCTTATTTAGAGCCCTTTAGCTTGTGTTAGCAAAAAAAAAAATTACATCAACATGGAACCACACTTTCAGAATCAGAGGTTGTCATTGTTCCTCAAGGGCAGAACAACATTTTTAGCAGCTCAAAACCATGTAAAACAAAACAGTGCTGGCCAATAGTGCCATAAGAAGAAAATAAATATTCTAAAAAATGTAGAAAAGGACTGTGCAGAATAAACATATATACACAAGAATATTTACACATATTTGCATCTTTGAGATGCAAATACGATTTCCTTCCTTAACAGGATGAAGGCTGATGTTCCTGCAGCATTTATACTTACATATTATCTTCTGGCTGAGTGAATGAAAAACATTTAGGCATTAGGATATTATTCCTGATGATGAGCCAGACATGTGGAAGTTCTCTCCTTAATATTTTAGCTCTTATCTTTGATTTTTCCTTCATGTCACACAGAGAAAGGAAACAGTGAGTTTTGGGCTTCCATTTTACTCAGAACTTCTAGATACCGTAAGTCTATTAGAATCTTTTTTAAAATCAATGAAATTCAGATCAAATTATAATAATCTTAAAAAATATTAAAAAAAATCTCTGATTATTCTGTTATTTTAGAAATGTGGGTTATTCTAAGTTGCCTGAAACAGAAAAGAAATCAGGTATAATCTGAGACATTGAGAGAGGAGACTGTGCTTTTTTTCTGCTATGTTAATAGGCATAGCTGTATGTCATTTATAAATAAATATCTGGTTCCATCTCTATATCTAAAGCATGTGTTGGTGGATGGAGAACCAAACCATTTTTACTTAAAACATTAACTGTTTTAAGTTTTGTGAAGCAAAGTCTCCATCCTTTCAGTGTCAGTTGTTTCTCATACATTCAGGTTTCTAAATTTTTTTTAACTGTCGTTTCAGTTTCTGTTTTAGCTTTTTTTTAAAGGGTATAATAATAATAAAAAAAATACTAACAGATCTGTTAGTATCAAAGATTCAGTAAAAGACAAAGGATATGACCCTAAATGGAGAAGCAGCATTTAGTTCCCATGCTCCACTTATCTGGAACAAACTTCCAGAAAACTGTAAAAGTGC